TTATAATTGCACTCTTTCAAGCTATTCTAACTCAAAAGTTGTGTTCATGTGTGAAGATTATCATTATCAACAAAATGTGTAGGAATCATAAACTTTTGTTTCAGTTTATCAGTTTCAAAAATCTGGTTTTTGTTGATGGAACAAGGGTGATGCTAACTTCTGGGTTGGTCTACAAAAATATGTCATAATCTATTCATAGTGCGGTTATTTCAAGCATAATAGAAGTATAACTGGAGGGTGTTACTACAGAATAGTTCTTTGCATTGTCATCAATGATGCATTCAGGGCCAAATATGTATATGATTTTCAGCTTTGTGGTTTAACGCTATGCATATTTAAACACTGATTGATTTGCATTTACTGCCTCCTTGAATGTTTTATTAGTTTAAATTAGGGATGCACGATATTGTATTTTTGCAGATATCCGATATGCCGATATTTTTCAACTCATTTTGGCTGATAGCCGATACCGATATATTTCCTTTTGTTTGGAAACAACACAAAGTCTCTCCGGTGCAGAAATTATAAGCAAATTATTTTTAATTTTGGTTAGTTTTTAACAAGAATTTATTTGTTAGAATTAAATAAACAATAATTAAGTTCTTTTATAATGACAGTACATTGAAGATTTGAAAATAACTATAAATAAACTATATTCAATCACTGCATTTTTTTTTTCCAGCGTTTGTAATTAAATCATAGCAGCCACAAATTTACATTGTCTGAGAGTCTATGAAATGTACTTTAATATCATAAACCATAAAATGTAGTCAGCGTTCTACTATGGTTAATTTTCATAATAGGTAAACACAGGTCACAAGTTAACACGGTCACATTTCCTTGATTCAGCCAGCTGCACAATGTGATGCCGAGAGTAAAATCCTGTCTTCAATCCAGAAATCTGAGACTGAATAAGTGCAGTTCAGTAGCTCAGTGCGTTCATTACTGGTACTGGCGTCTCACGGTGTGGCGTCTTTTAGCGCGTGTTCGAAATCCGCGCCAACACAGACTTTTTTGTTTATTTTCCGTACTTAAAGGTGGGGTAAGCGATTTCTGGTAGCCAATGTTGACATTTGAAATCACCAAAACAAACACGCCCCTACCCCAAAAGGGTCTCGCCCCTATTTTGATAGCTCCGCCCCACACATACGTACGCAACCCAGGCAATGATTAGTTCTGTGAAACAAAGCAAAACCAATGTTACACCGTGTCTACACCAGACGCGAGAACACACCGCACCGGAATACTATAGAACTCGTAATCAGTGATGCTGTCTACACCATAGATATAGCCTATATACATATCTATGGTCTACACTGGATGCGGCGAGGCACGACACGACAAATCCCGACAGAAAAAACTGTTCTATTTATGACGTTCTATTTATGACGTTCTATTTATGACGTATTGACACAAATTTCAAATGATTTTCAACGGTCGCTTTGTCGCGTCCAGTGTACTAGACAGACTTTAGCTGTTGCGGCTCAGACACGGTGTTACTCACCTATCGAGAAGAAACAAAGCAACCTCTGCGTCGGATCGCAGGCCTTCCGCTCCTTGAGTTCTCTCCAGCGCTGGAAAGCTGATTCGATATTTACACGGGTCCTACTGCTTGCCGAGGATCGTTTTAAACTTAACGCGGATATTGCTGTTTAAATGTGCTTTATTAAACAACGGCAAACAGCTGTTGAGTAAATGTTTTGCGTTGATATTCTCTGCCTGCAGACTGTAGTCAGATGGGCTGTACTGTGGGTGTGCGTTTAGAGAGAAACGACATGTCCACTTGTTGGTCAAATAAAACTAGAGTGGATTAAGACTAGATTGAAAATGGCTGTAAAACTAACTAACTAACTAACTAATGTATAGCCTACCTAACTAACTAAATAACTGGGTAAACTGTCAAGTAAAAAAAACAAAAAAACGTAAAACCAGACATTTTATGCCTCCTTATGTTACTAAGAATTACGACAGAGATGTGCGCGAGAGCAACGCAGATCGCATTGTTGTTTTGGTCGACTCAGATGAGAATGACACATGGTTTGACAGGATTTATGTGACACATCATTTAGGTCAGGGGCACTTCGATGAGAACTCCACCTTCCGCATAAGCCAAGGCCTCATTAAGATCATTCAGAACATGGAATGGTCAGATTTCATCGGGGAGGTGAAGATCCGGCAGCAGCGTAACCGGCGTGCTCGTCGTTGAGCTTGTGTTATGTGTGCACGCTCATCTATGCAGTCTGGATCCTGGCCTGCAGACACTCAGAGCTGAATTCAAACATTCCTGTTCATCCAAATCAATGCATTTAATGGCAAGTGTCTTCCTGGACTTTTCATAACAAATAAAAAATGAATCTGCTCATATAAAACATTAAAAAAAATTAATTGTAAATTGATTTGGATCATAGATGGCTCATTTGTGTCATTACTTTTCTCTAGATGAGAAGCTTTATGATTCTTTATGTATAATTAATACAATGCATTGTGTTCTCTCTGTTTACTTAAATGTTTATTTTTAATTAATTGTCTGATTTCACTGCATTAAAGGAATTGTTTGCCCAAAAATGAAAATTCTGTCATTATTTATACCGACTTTCAAAACCAAACCAACCCAGAAAATGTTCACTGCAATTTACAGTTATTAATATAATATATAAATAATATTTTATTAAAACCTAGAAACAAGTAAGGTCCGTGGTGAACACAGACCAATTTTTATCTTAATTTTCATCTTTAATCTACAACATAAAGTACATCAGAAATACCCCCTTGTGAATTTTGTTTTAAAGCTTTTACTTGTCTTGAAAAAGATGGTTGCTAGCAAGTGGCTAAATAGGACTGCAGAGATTAATAGGGTTACATAGAACAGGTCAACTAATATACTCACTAGTCGCTTTCACATCCTCATTGTGTTTATAATTGCCCTCTTTCGAGGTATTCTAACTCAAATGTTGTGTTCATGTGTGAAGATTATCATTATGAGCAAAACATGTAGGAATCCTAAACTTTTGTTGATGACAGAGCTTACTTCCTGCAATAATCCAATGGAAAATCCTATCGGGTTTTCGTTGATGGAACAAGGGATAGTAACTTAAGGCCTACAGAAATATGTCAATCTGTTAAACAAAATAACCCATTATATCCCAACTATCCAAATCAATCAGTAATGGAAATTATAATTTTGCATGACCCTAATAAGAAAGGAGGTATTTCATATATATACGAAACGCTCTTCCAGTTGACAAACACATCAACACATCAAGAACACTTAAAGTCTTCCTGGGAGGAAGATTTGGGTGTTGAAATTACAGACGAACAATGGGAGACAGCCTTTAAACAGATTCATAGATCATCATCGGTATGTGCAAGACATTCCCTCTTACAGTTTAAAGTAATACACTGTTTACACTGGTCTAAGCAAAAACTTAGTAAGATATTTCCAGATGTAGACCCTTCATGTGATCGTTGTGGGCAGGTACCGGCATCACTGGCTCATATGTTTTGGAGCTGCCCAAAATGGAAAAATGTTTTTCTGACATTTTCAAGAATATTGCAAAGGCCTATAGATCTAGATCCCCTGATGGCAGTTCTAGGTATTGCCGATTTTGAGATAGCTAAAAACAGTTCGGAACAAAACATAGTTTCATTTGTCAGTCTACTAGCACGAAGCTTAATATTATTAAACTGGAAACAGAAAGCTGCTCCTACATATATAAACCTAATGAGGGATGTAATGAAGCATTTGGAGCTAGAGAAAATCAGATTCTCCCTAAAAATGAAAGAAGAAAAATTCTATAAAAAATTTTTATAGAAAAAAATTCTATAGAATTTTTTAGGAAATTTTTAGAATTTCCTAAAAT